GGCCTCCCGCCCGCCTCGCTGCCGGAGAGAAGCCGGGGGAGGCCCCCCCCCCCCGCGCGCCCCGTCAGTCGGCCGGCCGGGCAGCCCGGCTCACCTCTTACCTTTCACCACCCTCTCCGTCGTCGATAACTTCGGATCCAGCGCCTTCTGTTCAGACATTTCCAGCAGCCTGGAAGAGGAGGCGGAGAGGAAGGCAGAGGCGCGGCTCGCTTCTCCCTCGCACGCACCAGACACAAAGCTGAAGGCGGCGGCTGCAGCAAGCCCGACCGAGCGCGCAACGTCTCCGGGTCCTGGAGGGCTCGGCTGCGGGTCGACTTGACGCTTTTCGCCTCCTGCCGCCGCTCCTTTTCCTTCTGCTCTGCCGCCGCCGCTCCTCCTCCCTCCTCCGGATTTTTTTAACCCCCCCTTCTTGATGTCAATCACGCCTCTCCTTTATTAGAATTAATGGCCAAGAGAATAAACGGGGGGAGAGAGAAAAACTGCAGTTTAAAAAAAAAAAGGAAGGGGGGGAGGATAACGAGAGGACGGCTAGACGGCGAGCATGAACTCGGCTGCGAAAACGCACGAGCCCACAGCCCAGAGCAGCCGCCGCTGCTCCAGCTCCTCCTGCTGCCGCTGCACGGGATCCGTAGCCTCGCTCCTTCCCCCTCCGCCGCCACTACCGCCGCCGCCTCCTCCTCCTCTGCTTCTCCCAGTGCCGCCTCCGCCTCCCTCCCTCCCTTTCTTCCCGGAGTCTCTCCTTTCACTCACGCAGCCCCAACCACTAGAACGGCGCTCAGTCAGAGGCGCAGCCTACCCTCGCCGCCGAAGCCTCGCCCTCCCCGCTTGCCCAAAGCGCCAGCGCCGCGGCCATTGGCTCCAGCCGAGCTGCCAATCACTGTCAAGGCAGAGGACACCCCTTGAAACTCCCCCCCCCCCCCCCCCCCCCCCCCCCCTTTTCCTTTTCTCAGGTGTTCGCAACCACGCGCGCTAGCACCTTTCGGGATTGGGTAGAGGATGGCGGGGAGTGGGGGACTCCGACTGTTGCTGCTCAGAGAAACAAAGCAGAAATTGCAGCAGTGCAAAGGGGGGGGGGGAGGCTGACGAGGGCGGGTGGCATCCTTCCCCGGAGTGCTTGTGAGAGGGTTTGGTTGAACGAGCAGCCTTAGAGGAACCGAGAGCTTCGCCTCAAGCGAAGGGCGGCGTCGGGGAAGGAAGGAAAGGCGACCCCGCCGTGCTCGGCTGCCGCTCTCCGCGTGGCGGGCCTTCCTTGGCGAGCAACGCGGAGCCCCGGTTTCCTTGTGCCGCCGATACTGTCAGCAGCATCGTCTCGCCCGCTAGCGAACCTTTAAGGCCGCGGCCGCAGCAGCGACCAGCGAGTGCATCTCATTAGCGGGCGGGGGCGGTCTCGCCTTGCCAGTCACTGTAGCCGCCCGCTTTGCTACAGAACGAACAGGAAAGAGCTCCAGGCGGGTGAGGAAGGAGCGCGCCTGCGTGTTCCTCGCAGCGGCAGTAGCAGCAGTAGTTCAAGACACGTCCCTCTATGCAGGGCTGCGGCCGGGGGGGGGGGAGGAGGTTGGAGGGGTTGGATCTTCTTGGGCTCCGGCGGCGCCTTCAGTTGACTGGTCATTTCCCAAAACACCCCTCTTCCCCCCCCCCCCCCCCCCCCCCGTCCACCTTTGCTGTTTTTGTTTTGTGGAGGAAAGGAGGAGTTGTTCAGATGGGAAGGGGGTGAAGCTTTTTTTCCTCTCCTCCCCCCCTTTTCATTGCGGAGCGTGAAAGACGAGTGTTCTTCTCGTGGAGGGGTGACTGTCTCGAAAGCTTCGAATCTAAAACCACGGGGCTTTTAGGAGGGTTCACAAGTCATGGCCGCGGATTTGGAGGAAGGAAGAATGTCTGGACTTCTGTTTTTGAGCGTTCTGTGGAATGGATAGGAAGTGGAGGAGGTGAAAATCAAAGGTACATTGTAGCCGCTTAGAATTACAGAGGTGGGGAAATGCAAATCTATAAATTGTACTTGACAACAAAAACACTTCTTAGGGAGCACCGGAAAGAGAAGGTTCAAATTGGCCTGTATTTAATGGGAATGATAACCCTACATTAGTGAATGGGTATATAAATTGACACACACACACCCTTTCAGGCCCTCATTGAAAACATTCACTGGTAACAAGACAGCTGTTTTTTAGTGCCATGTGTGAAAACTATCCAAACAGTTTATTTCCTTCGCTGAGTTCAGTTCTTGGGCAGTGGGGGAGAGAAATCAGAGGTTAGAGGGACAATTTGGAAAGATCTGTCCCTTCAGAGTTCTGAGGGGACTAAGTGCGGTTAAGTCACATCCCACTTAGGCTGGGCTGTTTCACACACACTAAGTAATGCACTTTCAAGCCACTTTGCAGCTGGATTCTACTGTGTGAAATGAAAGAGCATTGTTTAGCATGTGTGAAGGCACCATGGTAACCCCAGCGAGGGGCTTTCAAGGCAGGTGGGAAGCAGAGGGACAGATCCTCCTCGGTGGTGGTGGTGGAAAGTGCCGTAAAGTCACAGCCAGCTTATGGTAACCTCTCATGGGGTTTTCAAGGAAAGACAGGGACAGAGTTGGTTTGCTTGCCTCTGTGTAGCAACCCTGGACTTTTTTGATGGTCTCCCATCCAAATACTGACCAAGGCTGACCCTGCTTAGCTTTTGAGATCTGACAAGATCCGGCTAGCCTGAGCCATTGGCTTTCAAGAACTGATGAGATTGGGCTATAGCATTCCACCTTCCCACTCTGAGCGGCCTAAGTGGGCAAATGTTACCCTCTCCCCCATTCTCCCTTATCCTTCACTTTCAACACTCTTTGCTCCTTGAGCTTATTCTGACATTGACTTTTTAAGTTAATTGCCAAAGTAATGTTTTTGGTATACCTAAGGAATCCCTGAGATATGCAGAGCCCCTTCCCTTGTCGGGGGTATTTTTGCTGCCTGCATGGTTGTTCAATCCAGGGGATGCTGCAGGAGCCCCTTTACCCACCTGGGGGGGGGGCAAGTAATGCAGACTCTGTAGCTTGTACATCGGTTTCATTAGGGCTGGCGGTTATGAATTTGCAGCCTTAATTGCTGGAGGCTTTTCAAAGCAGAGTGGCAAGGCACAGGTGCCTAGCACACTGAATGCCATCAGAAACAATATGTGTGTATACTGTACTCCTGGAATGTGTATATGAACACTAGGATTCAGAGGAGATTTGGAAGGGGGTTAAAATTTTGGAGTATTTGGGGTTCTGATTTGGCTGGGTTCCCTAATATTTTAAATTAAGGTCCTGAGATTTTCCAAACTAGTCAAAGCATCATTAGTTATTTTGGATCACTTAATCTGGGATTAATTTCCTAGGTGGATCTCTTCTGTGATGTAAGGTTGGATTAAGGATGGCTTAGTCTATATTAAGTGTAATAGAGCTAAACATTCAGGAAGTACACGACCCTTAACTTAAATCTTTATCTGTTTGGCTTTCACCAACACATATCTTAAAGGTTCATGGTAGCAGACACAGTGGACTGTTCGGAAATTATATTGGCCCCTGTGGGTCTACTTCAGTACTGAGGTATCTGTTTGCTTGTGGGAACACCCAAATGTTAACCTCTGAACATATACCGCAACCACAGTTTAAAGTGTAACTAGATCAGGTCAGAGGGTTGGACTAGATGGTCTGTATGGCCCCTTCCAACTCTATGATTCTAGGTTATGGAGAAGTGGCTGTGGCTCAGTGATAGAGCATTTGCCTGGCATGCAGGAGGTTCCAGGTTCAAACCCTGGCATATCTGGTTGAAAGGATCACATGGTAGGTGATGTAAAATACCTCTTCCTGAGACCCTGGAGAGCTGCTGCCAGTCTGAGTAGACAATACTTACTTTGATGGGCCACTGGTATGATTCAGTATAAGGCATCTTAATGTGTACCACATATGTACAAGCTAGTTTATGTCACACTGGCTCCTCTAGGAAGGCATGATATTGGACACCTAGCACAAAAGTTGGTGTATAGTGAAAACGGTTGGGGAAGGGCATTGTATTATCACAGACCACCACTGCTTGGCAAGATCTTTGTGGCCCTCCTTGGCTGTGTAACAATGGTAGCCTGGCAACCCACGTGCTTTCCCAGCAAAAGTATTCTGGAAGTGCAGCAAGCAGCAGCCATGACTGGATAAGAGGTGAGGGAAGCACATTGTAATGTAGGAGACATGACAAGATGCACTTGGCTAGTTTAATATAAAACTAACATCAAGAATTGCAAATTTTACAGTAGTGGGAGCACTTATGTCAAGCCTTCCAGAGGCAAAGTAGCTATAAAGATTATTATAAAATGCTGTTAGAAGATGAAAAGAGAATCCTCCATCTTCTGTAAGCAAAAAAATTGCAGACTCTTGCCATATTCCTGATATGTGTATCTTGCTATCCTGAATTTCCCCAGAATTCATACCCTTTTGATATTTGGGGTAAAGGTTCTCAGAGTCCAGAATCCCATTGAACCCTGGAACCTTTCCAGTACTTGTTCTCCAAGTAATTCTGTAAAGGCAGATCTAAACATGAAGTAACTTGTGTATTTTCTCTTTTTAAAGGGAACATCCGGGTACAACTTTTTGGAATTGCGAGGTGCCCTCATGTCAAAGGCCTGACTTCTTTGTTTATGTCTTTGAGCACCACTGCAATTGGATGGAAAAGCCATTCCAAGACATTTGCATTGTGTATGGGGGATGTACTGAAACACTGAGCCTGCTGTGGATGCATTGGTCACACCCATATGTACAGCTTTTTCACTGGGATTGGACTCAGGAACAAATTGTTGTAGTGTTAACCACAATCTGGGTTTATACCATTCTGATTGGCTGTCCCATAATGCTTTATTTTTTCTTTCCTCATAAGTGCAGAAAATCTTACAAATACAATAAAATCACATTTGCTCTGCAAACCACCAACACAATAAGCAATCACAATTTTTTTAAAAAATCATATAAGCCTCTGCTTCAAGACCTTTTTAGTTCCTGGGCTTCAAGCAACCTTTCAGCTTCAGCACAAACTCCTTCTGTAAGAATCACAGAAAGCTCTCTCCAATAAAACTTTTATACACTTTCTGCAAAGCTGAAAGTGGCAGAGGTATGTGGACCACCTCCAGCAGTCCATTCCCCAGAGTGAAAACAGCCTTTGTGAAGGGAGGCAGCAAAAGACTGAAGTAATTATGTAGAGCTGCTTCCACACTGAGGAGTCTCCATGTTCCTTTCACTGCTGTTGCAAATGCAGAAGTGTGCGTATTAGCAGCAGAGCTTCTGCTGGCCAAATTGTCTAATGACAAATGTCAAAAGCAGGAAGCCGGCCTCGAATGCACACCATATTGGGGTTAGCAATGCTTGCCTTCATCCGGGGCGCCCAGTATGCACAATGTATAGAAGCAGTATAGGTGCAATATCTATAATATGCCTTTGTCTTATAGAGGAGTTGTGTCCCTCCAGCATCCATCTATCGACTATTATTATTGTTGTTGTATGGTATTGTGTGTAGTATAGCCAGGAGATCCTAAGATTGTCTGGCACCAAGAAGGTCTAGCTCTTTAGCGTTATGCACCACTAGGTGGTGAGCTAGACTTGGTTTCGAGGCAAGAGATATTTCAGATGTGGTTTGCTATTGCCTGCCTCTACATCATGGCCCTGGCATTCCTTGGAAGTCACCCATC